TTTTTCTCCACTTCCATTGTACCTCGTCTCCTATGCATCTTCATCTCTCTCCCCTGAGTTGCTGCAATAACTTCAATGGTGTCGTGTTTCTCCTTGTCCCCCTACTGTCTGTCCTCAACACGGTAGCCAGACTGTCCCTTCTAAAACATAAACAATGGATCATGTCGCTCCTCTCCTCTGCCCAAATCTGGCAAAGCCTCCCCATTTTAACTCAGAATAAAACCACAATCTTCACAAAGGCCGACAAGACCTCTGTGATTTGGCCCCTGGCCCCCGGTCCCCTTCCTCTCCCATTCCTCAGGCTCACTTGCTCTAGCCCCCAGCATCCCTGTCCTTTAAACACACAGGCACGTTCGTTCCTGCCTTTGGGCCTCGGTGTTGGCTGGTGTACCTCCTGACATCTGTGTAGCTGGCTCCTTCACCAACTGCAGGTCCTTCTCAATGAGGACGACCTGACTCCTGTATTTAAAACTGCCCTCCCCACACTCAGGATCCCCTTCAATTCTCTCACTTTCCCTTTTCCATAGCACTTACCATCTTCTAACACACCACCCAAGTTCCTCATTCCGTGGATTTTTTATTGTCTGTCTTCCCCTGTTAGAATGTAAGCTGTTTGAAGGCAGGGGTCTGTTTAGTCCTCTGATGTACTCCAAGCACCAGAACAGAGCTTGGCACACAGTAGGAACTCATCACTGAAACTGGACCATCAATCTCTTTAACCCATTCTTTACTGCTGCACATTGAAATGGCTTCTGGCTTTCACTATCATAAGGTATGTTTTGACAGACATCCTTGTACATCTCTGTATACACATCTTTGTGTACTTGTGTGATAACTTCTTAACTGATAAATCCCCCAAATGGAATTGCTGAGTAAATGGCAGCGACTGCAAACTTAATACTTTAAAATTGCTGAGTAGGCTAAACAAATCTATCTGCTGGCCACCTGACTGTGAGTATCTCAAGGGCAGGAAAGGAGGCACCTCAGACATCACATAGTCCACTCCCCTCATTTTACAGATGAAGAGACTTGGAGAGGTGAACTGACTTATCCCAGTTTGCAGAGGTGATAAAATTGCAGAAAAAGAATCCCAACTTGATGTTCTAGAGTCAAGTCTAGTACACTATTCTATCACACTAGAGGCATTAAAAATAACCACAGAATAATGTCAGTAAATGAAAGTGCACCTAAGATTGTGTGAGCAGGAGAAAGAACGAGAACATAGCAGGCACATACCTGAGAGACCCCGTCTCATGTAAAGCGAGAAGAGACGTCACCTAGCAAGGTCAAGTGGGCACACAACAAAGGCCCAAGGGGGGAATCAACGTGTCTTGAGCCCTTTCTAAGATAGGCAGCATGCCTACAGCTTTATATCCGTTATCACTTTTCACACCCACAAACCCCCTGAGTGGTTAAGTATTGTCATCTTCATGGATGAGGAAGCTGGTGCTTGGAGAGGCTGAGCCAACCTAGCCGGCATCACAGTTAGTGTGCAGTAGGACCAAGATTTGAACCCAGGCCCAGCCGACTGCAAAGCCTGGCTCCTTCCTGTCTCCAGTACCCTCTTCCACCCTCCGCTCTCAATGCTGGAGGGATCAATTTCCTAGAGACGGACCCACCATCAATGACCTTACCAGGGATTGCTACATAGGCCAGAAGCCACTGTATTTAACTGATCCTGGGGAATATGCCTTCCCAGTAACTGCATCATTCAGCAGTGCCCTCTACCAGACTTTGGGACTAGAATCAGTAATTAGAATGGTGGCTGGTGGGCCCAGAATCTGGACAAGGGATGCAGGAGACTTGGGAGAGCAAAGGAAACTGAAGAGACCTTTTGCGCTTGTTGTTCCCCCCCACTCTTCCCTCAGATATTCCGGAAGCTCGTTCTCTTGCCCCCTACGGGCCACCTTCTCAGTGAGCCCGTCCTCATCTGCCTGATTTAAAACTGAAGCCTCTCACCCCGGCATTCCCCAGCACCCGGCCTTTTTTATCACACTCTACCACCATCTGGCGGGCTGTATATTTTGTTTGTTTGTTTGTCTCTCTTCACTAGAATATAGAAGCTCTATGAATGTAGGGGTTTGGGGCTATTTGGTTTACTGCTGTATCCTTAATATCTAGAATAGTTCCGGGCACTCAGTTTTTTAAAAACAAGTAAATGAATAAAGTATTCAAAGTCAGATCCAGATTCAAATTCCAGCTCTGCTACCCATTAGCTGTGCCACCTTAGGCAAGTCATTTAACCTCTCTGAGCCTCAGTTTCCTTATTTGTAAAATGGAGATAAATTGTTGTGAGGACTAAATGGCATAATATAAACATGAGCCTAGCCCAGAGCCTGGAATATAGTGGGCGCCTAATTAATTACAACTCTTATTATTAAGTATTATTTCATCCAGATCGTGTGAAGTCTGATCTAGAGACTTGTCTCTTACATGAGTGGAATGTTCACCTCCATGAGACTCTCTCCCTTCCTTGTGTGGAGTGGGATAAACAATGTTACACTCTCACTATGCTCCCATCAATATAGCTTTTTTCTAGTTAAAACAGAATACAAGTGATTGGTTTCATTTATTTTACTTAAAATTACCACTGAGCCCTTGGAATTACCTACATCACCTTCATCAAACATAAGCATTTCTCAGTCTATAAAACGCTATTCCTTGGATCATTTCTACAAAGGACTTCGATTCTTAATATTATAATCCGATTTCTAAACTCTGAAGGAATGTTACTTCTTTCCTATAGATCGACTATCACACGAATTAGAATAGCATAAAGAATGATACATATTTGGTGTTTAAATTTGTGGTATTTTTCCTCTTGAAAAGATACTTAAGATTATAATAAGAATACCGAAATTCCTTAAAGTCCAGACCTAACTAATCCCTTCCTCTCCCTCCATCCAAGCTGGGAAGGAAGAGTCAGAAAAGTCGACAGCACTGTTTTCTCCCTAAGACTCAGGCTGGGAAATGACCACTATGACTGGTGGTGACTTAGGGTCTCTGAGTCACAGTGGACAACACAATTTCTATCGTCTCCTCCTCTGCCTTGAAACTCTCTACACTCCAAAGTTCCGGGTTCATAAAGCGAGCTCAGCAAGTACAGTTCTCCTATTCTCATCCTGATTCAGCAAAACCTGGCTGGATAACAAGGACACACCAGAATCCACACGAACTTGAGTAGCAAATTTAAAAGAAAGGCAAAGTGTGTTACCGTTTTCAGAAACATTTGATTTTTCTACGGATCAATGTTTCGGGCTAATTTGCAGATCCCGGGGAATTAAAAATACAAATATCTTCTCTTTTTGAGTTTGTAAGAGGGTGTTCTTTCTGTAAAGTACTAAAGAGCTCTCTTTTGAGGTGTCAAATTATATTTGCTTTCATTATGCAATCCTAAACGTGTATCACGTCTTTTAGGGAAATTCTTTCATTTTCCCCTCTGTCGCATACACATATTCATCTTTCTTTCAACTTTTCCATATGCCTTAAGGGATGGTACAGAGCCAACTCAAGGAACATGGCACTGTCAAATCTGGCTAAATACAAACCTGTTAATAAACAAACTACTAAGATGCAAAATGATGTGAAACAACACAAAATCAAGAACACAGAGCTTCAGGAGGAAAAAAAAATACTTTTAACTAGTATCTAGGCAGACCGTTTTCCTACACAGTATGAAGTTGTTATACACTTAGCTATTTTTAGGAATAATTCCTTGAATTATTCTTTCTTTCAAAATAAGAAGTCATGGTGGATAAACACTACATGATCATCCAAATTGGGTTTCCCTAAAATGATATCTGATTTCAAGACACGCAACCTCCTTGACGCCCTGGTAACTGTCTGCAGCTCCCAGCGAGCACTGAGTGTGCTGCGATGATTCAGGTGTGTCTCTTAGTTGAGTTTCCTGGGTGCGAGGACCAGGTTTTACTTGTTTCTGAGCAGTGCAGCACAGCGGTTAAGACTGAACTCTGGAGTTAGACTTCTGGGTCCATATCCCAACACTGCTGCTTATCAACAGTGTGACCTCAGTTGTTCCTTAACCTTCCTGGGCCTCAGTTTCCTCATCTGTAAAATAGGGATAATAATAGTCCCTCCCTCGCTGGGTTACTCTGGGGATAAAGACAATCCATACAAAGCATTTAGCACAATGAAAAATAAGTAAAATGCTAAAAAAAAAAGTTATAATATTTACTTTAGTGTTTAATATGGTACTTGGTCCATTAAGAAAAAAGTTCTTTTTTTTTTTTTGGTCATGTCACGCAGCTTGCGGGATCTTAGTTCCCGGACCAGATTGAACCCAGGCCATGGGAGTGAAAGCACTGAGTCCTAACCACTGGACTGCCAGGGAACTCCCAAGAAAAAAGTTTTAAATAAGAACATGCAATGAATTCCTTATCACCTTCTACTTATTCCTGTAGTACTATATTATTCTGTACTTGCGAATGTGAGGTTGGTGTGAATTTTCCAGGTACCTATTTCCTCTTCAATTAACAGTAAGCTCCTCAAGGTCAGGGGCAGTGCTGACTATTTCTGGACCCTCCTCCACTCCTCCACTGCATCGTTGTCTATAAATGCTGGATGCTTTTGCACACTAGTTATTACCAAACTGCATGACCGTAGATTCCATCTAAATAGCTACAACATTTCTCCTCTGGGTGGAACTGTTCCATTTCCTTCATTTACTGCAATTCAGCATTTTATGTTATTCTGAGATAATGCCCAGGCTTCCCCAGACCACCCAGCTAATCTTTAAGATTGTCCGCTCTTTCTGTCAACTCAGAATAGAAACATTTTCTACAGTAACTGTCTTAAAGGATAATGCTGCCTTGCTCGGACAGGGAGCGGCCATGGATACTGGCCATGGATACATGGATACATGGATATCTCATCTCAATGTCATCTAACATTCCAAGTGGAACGTGACTGTCAGGAATCTTCAACAAATCCGAATGTTCCAAAGAGGAAAACCAAACTAATTTAATACATTTAGTCAAAACCTGCTTTCGAGGAGACTTGGGGGGTGAGGTGGGGGAACAGACTAAATTCCTATAAACATTGCTTCTATGGATCTAAATCCATCTTATTCCATCCTTGTCATTTTGAGTTCTGACCTATCAGGATTATACAGCACAGCAACCCCAAAGGATGGCAGGAACTTTAATCATCACAGATTTAAGGACCCTGAAAGGCAGCAGGGCATCGTGTTCTCCACGTGGATTATAGAGCCAGACTCCCTGGGTTTGAATCCCAGCTCTGCCAAATACCAACTGTGGGACCTTGGACAAGGTACCAATATGAGCCAAGTCTCTATAAAAGCGGGATGACAACAGCAGCTGCCTCAAGGAGCTGTTTATGAGTTGATACTCACATTAGTGCTTGGCATACAGTAACCTGTCAATAAATATAAGCTATTATTATTATGCTTATATTATTATTGTCATGTCATTGCACTTGGTATGTCCAAACCACGGTCATTATTTAGAATCACTTCTCCCCAATTCAACTCTTCTCTGTATTTCCTGCCCATCCAGTTGCTCAAGTCAGAATGCAGAGTCAATCTTGACCCCCTCTCTTTTCCTCATTTCTCCCATTTAAATGGTCCTCAGGTGCCAGGTCCCTTCACGATCCTGCCCCTGAAATATCCGACACTTGTCCCCTCTCTGTTCCTACTGCCCAAGCTCAGGCCAATGGTTGCTGTCTTGCCAGGACTGGTAACCTCCCTGCCTTTATTCTCACGTTCTTTAATTTGTCCTTCGCGCAGCTTGAACAGTTAGCTTTCTAAAGCACAGACCTGATTAGATCACTCTTGGCTTTACTACGTACTATACAATAAAGTCCAGCTTCCTTAGCCTGGACTTCAAGGATCCTTACCACCTGGCTCCCAGCATGCTCTTCCTGCTTCCTCCACTCTCACCTGCACTCAAGTCACACCTTGCTGCTGGCTCTTCTGAGGATGCTCTTTGTTGCCCTGCCTGCACTGTTCCCTCTTGCCTGAATGTTACTCCTCCATTTCCTGTCCAGCCAGCTTCTAATCATCTAATCATCTTTAGCTAAAAATAAGGCAAAGGTCAGTGCTTGACAGTTTATGAGCTGAAGAAAACTAACATTTGAGAAAGATTTTTAAAAGGAATTTACAAAATAGGTGCTTTCAAAAATTTTAGTTTGGTAAAACCAGAAAACCCCGTTAACCAGAAATTCTCTAAGGTTCATTTATTAAGTACTTCATATATATCAGGCACTTAAAACACATTTTTTTCTCATTTAATATTCATAACAATCCTGTTGGTTTGACATCATAACCCCATTTTAGAGCTGAAGAAACTTAGGCTAAGTAATTTGTCCAAGGACACAAAGTAGTAAATGATACAGCTGAGATCTGAAAACTGGTCTGACTGACTCCAAGATGTGTTCATAACAGCTGACCACTGTGCTATGTTGCCTCACGTCATGTATGTTTGCCTGTCGGCTCTGATCTGACCTTGGCGTAAATGCATTACCGTTCTAAATTATGCACTGGGTCAATGTTTACGTTCTGCTATGGGTTTTTTGTTTTTTTTTTTTTCCGGTACGCGGGCCTCTCACCGTTGTGGCCTCTCCTGTCGCGGAGCACAGGCTCCGGACGCGCAGGCTCAGCGGCCATGGCTCGCGGGCCCAGCCGCTCCGCAGCATGTGGGATCTTCCTGGACCGGGGCACGACCCCGTGTCCCCTGCATCGGCAGGCGGACTCCCAACCACTGCGCCACCAGGGAAGCCCTGCTATGGGGTTTTAATGTCAGGTCCTAGACTGAAGAGGTTAAATGATTTTCAGCACACACCACCTGGCATGGCACAAAGTGCAGCTGTGCTGTGTGATGAAGAAGCCGTCCAACCCGGTGGCTTCCGCCTCACCTCGGCCTCTCATTCGTTCATCAGATGCCACAGAAAGCATCTGCTGACTGCCCGCCACACGTGAGACAATGTGCTAAACTTACTCCCTTGTCTTCCAAGAACTTGATTACATCTTAGGAAGGCATTCTGGCAAATCTGAGTACCTGAGTGCCTCTGGACAACAGGCTGAAATTTCTGTTTTAGAATAAGTGAACTGATGGCTTTCAGTGGTGCACACTCTCCAGAGAAATCCAGGCCCCTCAGCCCCCGTGGTTGAGTTTGTCCCTTTTTAGTTACTCAATAGGTCTGCTAATGCCTATAAAACACATACACACACACACACACACACACACACACACACACATTTAATTCAGTAATTCCAACTTTTAGGAATTATTAAAATAAATATCCTTCCTGGATCACTAAAATTTTCCTGGCGCTAAGTGGTGCCTATGAACAAAGGGAAGGCTAATCTGTGATTGAGAGTGGTAATCTATAACCATTAGAATACTGTGGGTTATAGGCTGAATTGTATGCCCCCAGAACGCATAGGTTGAAGCTCTAATCTCCAGTACTTCAGAGTGTGATTATATTTGGAGATACGGCCTTTAAAGAGGTAATTAAGTTAAAATGGGGTTGTTAGGGTCACAGAAAGAGTGTGATACACCAGACCCAGACACATACATAGAGACGACCATGTGAACACACAGGGAGAAGGTGGCCATCTGCAAGCCAAGGAGAGAAGCTTCACAAGAAACCAAACCTGTCCACACCTTGATCTTGGACTTCTAACCTTGAGAACTATGAGAAAATATATTTCTGCTGTTTAAGCCACCCTGTCCGTGGTATTTTGTTATGGCTGCCCTAGCAAATTAATACACAGAGTGAAATCACAAACACCATAAGGATAACCTGCAGATCCTACCAGCATTAAAACTGGTGCTCGAGGGCTGCTTTGTTCAACCAATAATTTTTAAGTTTTTCCTCTGTATTAGGCCCTCAACTAGATGTTAGCAGACTATATAGCTAAAGCTTCAAGTTAGTAACGCTAAGTTGATGAAAGTGGCTTACACATTTCCCCTCTCTGCAAATGTGTCCCCAGGAAGACACCAGTCACCATGAATTTGGGAAGAGAAGTCACATTAACTGTTGCTTCTCCCAAATATCCCCCAAAATTCAAGAGACGTAAAAGTCACCTTCTCCTATACCAACATCTTCCAAGGAATAAAATGATCTTACCCAACCCTTCCAGCTCTTCAACTGCCTCCTTCCAAACAGGCTCAATATGGATACAGCTAAAGCACCAATCTGAGGTGATCTTAACGAGGTAGGGTTTCTTGAAGCTATCTGGAACCACTTCGTTCACATAATGTGAAAAGTGCAATAAATACTTTTCATCAATTGAGTCTCGCCGCTCAGAATTAAAAGGGAAGTGAAAAAACGGTTCGTCAAAATAAAAATTCTCATGGAAATGGCGGAAGCGATACTCTCGCTGCTGCTTCTGGTGGCCCTGGTTCTCCCCGGCATCTCCGTAGTGGTCATAATGTGATCTCTTTTCTTCATTGGAAAGAATCTATAAAGAAAGGGAAAAAAAAAATAAGAAATCCGGGAAACGAAGAAAAAAAAGATTATCTAAAGGACTTTCCTGTAAGCAACTTGGAAGACATAGGAAAAAAGTAAATGTAAAGATACAACACAATTAGATGTTTTAAACACAATCACTCAATATACCATGAAACACTTCTCTTAATAGAAGAATTAAGTATTTCAGAAACAAAATACTTCAGTTGTGTAGCTACTCATGATCATCTTGGCTTTAAAGATTCTGAGCTATCACATTACTAAACACGTCAATAAAGCAAAGAAAATATAACTTTGATCGCTAGGGCTCAACCTCGAGAACGTTGACTCAGTCATATCATCTAGGTTGGAGTCATTCAAACGAAGGTATGGAAAGCTGTGAACACCAAAAAGTAGCCACAGGATTGAATTCTGTGATGTATGTTAGCTGACTTTGTCTTACTTAGAAGTAACTTTGAAGTCTAAAATTCAAGAACCTGTTTTAGGATGAAGCATCATTCTATAAGCCAAGCACTGTCTGTGGAAGAACATTACCCTACACAAATCAGGAAGCCATGGACTTATCTTTCCTGCATATTCCAGACCAACTTACTTAACCTCATATGTTGGAAAACTGTTAAAAACGTTGTGTTTAAATGTATTTGTAACATTAACTCACTTTAATAAATAGAGGCAAATTGTTCTGTGATTCTTTAATATAAGTTTCTAGTATATGTGTTACCAAAGTGAGCATGTAATATAAGGAAATAGAGACATACGTTCAGGGTGACTCTAAAATTCCAATTAAAGCCTTTAAAATAGGCCAGTTTTCCTAAGAGCTGAGTGTTCAGGTACTAGTTTCAACATACTGGATGTGGCCAAATATGTCGTCTCTACCATCACCTAGAAACGGGGTCAAGGGCATGGGGAGCAGGCCCTCTCCGAGAGGACTTTACAAAACTGATCACCTAAGATATATTTTATAAGAGCTAAAAGATACATCACAAAGTTTGACACGATACCTCGTAAGCTTTGCTAATTTGAATGAACTTGTCTTCTGCTCCAGGATCTTTGTTTTTGTCAGGATGCCTGAAACACAAATGGGCAGGCAGTGAGGATGGATTTAATGTTCTATACATGGTCAATTAACATCTTTGTATACACAGAGGCAAATGGAAGGGCATTTTGTTAGGACAGTTTCTTTAAAATGGGAGAAGCAATTAGTTGCTTCACGTGACTACAGTAAATAAACTGTGAAACAGGCAATTTCTTCCCAAAGCGCTTCAGCTGGGCACATTTTCAAAGCACCAGATAGCGCTCCAGGCTCTCACTGAGGAAGGGTGGGATATGTTATCTATCTTTACACTGCCCCCAAACACTGCTGGAGCTCAAGGGTCAAGTCACTTATCCCTAAGAACCAACTTCTTTTCCCAGGATGGCAGCATTTCATCCCAATGTTAGAATGGTATCTATGTAGGTATTTCTTCTGACAACTCAGGTAGACAAAGCAAACAGTTTTTAGGATATTCCATGAATTTGTTTAGTAACAACCATGTTCCAAATGGTATCTTGCTGCTGATGTTCAAATTAGAACATTTTAGTTTTCACTATTCCCCTGGTTATCCCACCTGCCTGACTGCCTACTTACAAATGGATAATAATTACAAGGCCACATGTTTTAAAATGTGAGAAAAATCTAGTTTATACAAAGTGATTTCAACTAATATTGGAACTAATATTTGCTATTATACACAGCTGGCAATTAACTGTATCCATCTTGCTGCCATATATTATTCTGTAATCTTGTATTGGTACCAATTTCAGCTTTGGGGATTCTAAAGTTTTGGAAAGTAGGGGCTGGGTTTTATTTCCTTAGAACCGCTTAAGATCTAAATCAGTGCTTTATACCAACTGATTTTTCAATGTTCATTTTATTAAGAGATTCTATTACAGAGCTTATTTTTTTGTAATCACTCCTGCTAACTTCTAGTACATTTCCTCTAGCAAAGGTTCTGGAAAGAAACAATCCACTGGGAAGCAAATGACTACTAAAAACAGCACCAAGTACATCGGAATAAAAAAAATTTACAACTTGACCAACTTATTCTAGCAGGAACATGTTTGAATGAATTATACCAATATTCTGACTTCTCTAAAAATAAAAAACCTTCAAATTATTGGCTGTTGAATTTAGACATCATTCCTCCCTTAAATATTTAATCCTGTTACGAATATTAGTAGGGAAAAAATCTCAGCTAGATGTCAATGAAAATAATGACTTAAGGAAACAAGATGGTGGTTCCAAAGTATGTTTCTGGATGACTGGGAAAAAAAACAGTGCTTTCAATGTTCAAACTTAGGCCAAAGGTTGAGAAGATAAAAATTATGCAATTGCACAAATGAAGATTTAACATACAGAACTCTGTAGGGGAAGAAGGGAAGGGTAGGAAGGAGCTTTTAAGGAGACTGAACCAAAGACAGACTATTGAGACCTGGGTTAAAACCACAGATCCTGAAACAGAGGAAACCAAGGCCCAAGAACAAGGAGGATACCATAAGACGGTTGTAGCTTATAAGGAATATTTTCCTTATTATAGGAAGATACCACAAAGTTGAAAACATTTAGAAAAGGATAAATTCAGCTCTAGGAAAGTACCATCTAATGCTATTTTCAGTGTACATGAAACATTTCACAGACTACAATATTATACACACCCTTTAAATTTCAAAGTGAAGAAAATACTGTACTTGGTATCAACTGGCTGTCTAACACTACCTTTAAGGGAAAAAAAACGAAGGTAGAAAAAGTAATATAGGAAAGTATCAGACAAATCAATTACTGTTGAGGTGAATGACTACATTATACCCATTTGCTTCAAATCAAATTTTATGATGCCTTTTTCTTGGGGTGGGAGGAGTTATTCTGCCGGTGTAGATGACAAAAGAAAAGTACCTATAATAAAACTTAATTATTGGGAGAGAAACAGTTTTTCTGAGATAAAAAGTAATTTAATATGGTTTCTGGACTACCTGCCCTTTGTTGCAAAACCTCTATATATCCTAGCTCCCCACATCGCCTCCTCGGAGCAGTTCTCTCAGGATTACTTGAGATGCTGCCTCCTGGGCTTGAAGTCCCAAAACTTCTTGCCAAATAAAACTCTCAAAAAAAACCGACCAGAGGTTTCACCAAGCAAAGGGAAAACTCTTGAGCGATGTAAGAAATACTATTAAGTGGTAAACCAGCAGAGGAAGGTTACAAATCCAATTCGATAATTAACCATTCCCCACTGTGCTAGCTCATTCTGAAAAGTCAAACTGGGAAACTGCTATTTTCAGTGTACAGCTGACCCTTGAACAACATGGGGCTCAACTGAACTGCACAGTTTAAACCCATGTTGTTCAAGGGCCAACTGTATATGAAACCATTATGAAATGAAACAAACTGTTTCATTGATAAAATGCTGCCATAGCCAAAACAGCAGAAAATACAAAGGTAAAGTAAAATTTTAGACTTTCATTGGATCAAATTTTAGACTTTCTATGGTGACATATTATGCCTAGAGAGACTCTAATTAAGGAGGAGAAGCATATGATTTCTTTAATTAATATCATAACACCCTTTTTGGCTCTGGAAGATAGAGAAGTCAACGCTGTACATTTTAATAGAGCCCAAATAACCAAGCTATCATTTCTGCTTTCAAGTTTTGTCAAAGGCCATATCCTGTCCAAAAGAATATTGCTACCTTGTGAATTAATTCAAAGGCCACACTGTGTTTAAAAGAATGTTGTTACCTTATGAATTGCAGATTTATGTATTTTGCTTTAAATACAAAGAAGCAAGAGTCTGAAATGATGTAGAAAAAAAAGCAACTTTCCTGTAGAGTCCCTGGAAAGAGGCCATGCATAATCAGAGATTGTGTTTTTAGTAACCAATTCTGGGTTCCTCATGATATGAATATATGGTCTAAGATAGTTACATATTCAAAACATTCAAAAGTATATTTTAAACTATCTTTCACCTTTACTGCAACCAACTGAATACTCAGACGCATCTCTCACTGAAGAAAAATGGTGTCAGGCAGAGTCATGCACAGCTTGCAGTGTCATCTGCACGTGGCAGCTTTGCTCCTGCATAACTTCCTACCCACCCAGACACTAAGCCATTCACTCTTGCTTCTGCCCAGATGGGTAAGTGGTTAAAAAAGAAAACAGCAGGGCTTCCCTGGTGGCGCAGTGGTTGAGAGTCCGCCTGCTGATGCAGGGGACACGGGTTCGTGCCCCGGTCCGGGAAGATCCCACATGCCGTGGAGCGGCTGGGCCTGTGAGCCATGGCCGCTGGGCCTGCGCATCCGGAGCCTGTGCTCCGCAACGGGAGAGGCCACAACAGTGAGAGGCCCGCGTACCGTAAAAAAAAAAAAAAAGAAAACAGCAATAAACTACCTGCTGGTGCAGAAGGTCAACCTATGGAACCCACAGGTAATACAGACTTACCAACCATGAGCCTAGTGCCTCACCTGAAAAACAGGGACAGCAATATCTGCCCTCAAAGGGTAATTATAAGGTTTAAATGAGATAAACAGCATAGAACCTGGAGCCTAGCATGCAGTAGGTACTTGATGATGGCTCCCATCCCAAACTTCCTTTCCTTACTTCTGGTTGGTCCACCCAGCTTTAGCCGCCTGTGTCCTCACCATCCCTTCCTCCTCCTGCTGCTCCCCTCCAGCTATATAATCTAGCGCTTCTACTGTGTCATGTCCAAGGAATTGGTGGAAGAAACCGATGATGTTTGTCCAAAATAAGGTTTAAATTTATTGCTATCCTGCTAAATAACAAACACTTGCTTATTCCCCAATGTCTACAGGTAAAATTGATTTTTCTATGTGATATTTTTTAAAGTAATGTACTCAGTTCCTGAATATTCTTACTAAATTGAGGGCAAAAAGCTCTTACTATAAAATTTTTTTGAAGGCTTAAAAATTAATAACCTAGACAATAGGACTGGATAGTGTTCCCTTTAGCAATGGCACTCATAAAGAGTTACTTTATGGGGCTTCCCTGGTGGCGCAGTGGTTGAGAGTCCGCCTGCCGATGCAGGGGACACGGGTTTGTGCCCCGGTCCGGGAAGATCCCACATGCTGCGGAGCGGGTGGGCCCGTGAGCCATGGCCGCTGAGCCTGTGCGTCCGGAGCCTGTGCTCCACAATGGGAGGGGCCACAACAGTGAGAGGCGTATTGCAAAAAAACAAAAACAAAAACAAAAAAGAGTTACTTTATGAATCATGGGAAGGGCAGCTTATCCACTCTTGACTATATATATATAATTTATATAATATATATTAAAAAATATATTTATTAAAGTTTCCTCCTACTTACTTTAACATTAAATAAGTGAACAGTATCAAGGCAATTCTTTAAGCCAAAGAATTCCTAACAGGGGGTTTCATAGTAACAGAGGCTTTGGATCTCATCACTAAAAATTCTAGAATCCCACGAATACAAGTCCTCCCACATAAAATACGTTAGACAAATATATATTATATATTTAATGAACACAGAAACAGAGACAAATAAAAGCTAACCATAATTTAGGCTTCATTCTCCTGCTAAAACTGCTTAGCTTATTTTAAACTGCTATTTCTTTGTTTCACCTACCATTCCCGGGCGAGCTTCTTATAAGCCTTTTTAATATCAGCCTGACTGGCTGTTCGGCTGACCCCTAGGACTCTGTATGGGTCAAAATCCAACGCAGACAGAATTTGCAGGATCAGAACCAGAACTATCAAGAACTGCCAGGAAATGCTCAACTTTTTCACTTCCATTTCTCTTCCTTTCCAGAGCTGAAATGATTGAAGAGGCAGTAAGTTTTAGTGGTAGAAATCTGGAGTCTTGCTTTCTAGGTAAAGGTATAAGATATACAGATGAAAGACAAAACAAAAGATATTTTGCAGGAAAAGTGCCAAGCTGTTTGACCGCATCTTCTTAAATGAACAATCTTGCTACTGTCTTTGAATATCACAAATAAGAACTATTATAGATGAAGAGATGAGCAATAAGAACAGCAACTCTCCAAAATCCTTCTATTAGAAAAGCTTCAGAAATGACTGAAAACGAATGAGAAGAAGAAATAATAAGCAAACGCGGGAAAACATACACAGGGACATCAAGGCAACTACATCTCAAATACACTATTTCACTTATTCTGACAATAATAGTTTAAACTTAAAATATGTGGTTAGAGCATACCTCACTGAGCACATGCTAAACAAATTCACGAAATCTTAAGATTTACCATGTGCAAAACTACAAAATGAGATCGTTGTGATGCTCTTGGGAGTTAAATAAGTATAAGAATGAAAGTGAAATACTCTAAAAAAACTGCAGTTACAACTTTGTGTGCCCCAATTCTAATCTTTCTCACCATGCCCATTCAAACAAGAAAATAAGAAGCTGTTCTTTAATCACTAGCAATACTGTCATTACAAATGGAGACCTCAGATGAAAAAAAAAGTGGTGAGAAAAATTTTAGTTTGCCACGTGAAGGGGGATTAATGGCAAAGATCGTAGACCAGGCATGGTCTTCAAATGTTAAAGCTCCAGCTCTGGTGAGTGTAGTGACTGAATTCACTGTGGATTTTGGAAATAATCCCGGCTGGTAAATGAACAAGGTAGTGCTGTACGGCAGGGACATTTACACTCCAGGTGTATGATCTTTGTGATATCACACAATGATTTTTCAAGGGCCATATCTTGGTTTCTCACAAATCACTAAAATTTTAAGGATCAAGTATCTAATATGACATCTTACTTAAGGGAGGCAAAGCTGTAACATTGTGGATTTTGACAAGTGGGAGTCTAAATCCTCAAGAAATTGACTAATCTGATGGCCACTGTTTAGGACTGCAAGCCTGCTGAATAAAATCCTAAAACAAACCAGTTTCTTTTCTGTAAAGGCAATCTATAACCTATTCTCTCACAAAACACATACAGCACGCTAAAAATTGAGAAGGTGATGTAGCTACTAATTAAGCACATGGACTCTGGAATCAGACTAACATTGGGACCTGTCCTCTACCACTTTATGACCTTGGACAAACTACTTAAAACTTGCTAAATCTCATGTCCTCCTTCATAAAATGGGGGTAAATAATACCACCTTGAAAGGATCAAAATGGGAGGTGAACGTATGTAAAGGATTTACTGAGCACGGGGTCAGCAGCCAATAAGCGGTATTTACTGCCATTGTTTTTTCTACCATGCAGTGCAACCAGTGCCTTATTCAACTGTGTCAGTCGCCTCCACTTAGAGGGCCCAAGTGCCGGGGGGCTGTGTTCTTTTGCTGACAGCTCGACGGTGCCGGCCTCAAGGCAGGAAACAACCTGCCCAACAGGTAGGCTATCGCCCTCGGGCAGTATACCCCGGACCAGGCAGCCGGTCCCAGAGACATGGTTAGCTCTGAGCCCCGCCTCGAGCTCCCGCCGGAGGTCGCAACCCTCCAGGAGACAGCCGCATCCCTCGCCGCCCCCGAGAACCCTGGGCCAGGCCCTATCGGCTCCGGGTTCCCCCCGGGCCCAGCAGGGACTGGGAACGAGGAGGAACTGACGGGAGATCCCTGAGCCCGCCCGGCCCCGCCGCGTCTGCGGCTCCGCGCGTCACGCCGGGAAGTAGTTACCTGGAAAGGGCACCGTCCTAACCGGCTGCAACGTCCGTGCTCCAGTTACTCCGCGGGGCCGAGAGCCTCCGGTCCACACCAGCGCTCGCCGGGGCCTGGGGAGGGGAAAGAGGAGGGACGAGCCGGAGGGCAGTCACGTGATACTTAAAGGCCCGGCGCACCAAAGGCGCGGACTGAACAGTTCTAGGGCTTCAACTTTGAGAATTTGTTTTGACCCTTGCCACCCGCCGTCTGCGCGTGGACCTGGCGCGGTTGTCATAGGAACGAGGCTCGCGCTCCGGCTGGATCCAAAAGGATGGTGGCGACCAAAGAGGCTAAAACGTCCCACCTAGCGAGGCGAAGTCGCGATGCATGATGGGATGCCGAAACACCTCCCATATCCAGGGAGGAGTTTCCACTTCTACCAGGAGATGGCCCTTGTCTAACAACAGTTGCTGGGGTGGGGAAGCAGTCTCTGGTCCCTATATTCTCTTTAACCCTATTCATAGAATCCTAGAGCGTCAGAGTTGGAAGGGACCTTAGGGATCGTTTCTAGTCCAACTCCACCGTATCCTGATGGGGGAGATTGAGACCCAGAGACGGGCAGGGACTTGCCCAAGGCTTAGAATCCAGGACTCCTAATCCTATATACCCAAAAGCGATCTCCACTCTAGAATGTACCAGGTCCTGTCCTAAGCACGGAAAAGGGATATGTGTATGGTGATGCTGGTGGGGGCGGTGGAGGAGAGGCACAAGTGAGTGAGGTAAACTTTCATTGAGCCAATGACATAGGTTCCTTGGGGATATAAAGAAAGAGATTTCATGTCCTCCTGCCCTGCTTATTTAGTCTTTATCTCTTTTGCATTTATCACTATCTAACATACTGTATCTTTTATTTATTTATATTGTTTATAATCTGTCTCCTCCCACTGGAATGTAAGCACCTAAAAGCAGGGCTTTTTGGACTTCCCTGGTGGCGCAGTGGTTAAGAATCCACCTGCCAATGCAGGGGACACAGGTTTGATCCCTGGTGTGGGAAGATCCCACACGACGCGGAAGAACTAAGACCATGCATCACAACTACTGAGCCTGCGCGCTAGAGCCCGTGAGCCACAACTACTGAGCCCACGCGCTACAACTGCTGAAGCCCATGAGCCCTAGAGCCCGCACGCCTAGAGCCTGTGCTCCGCAACAAGAGAATCCACCGAAATGAGAAGCCTGCGCACTGCAGCAAAGAGTAGCTCCTGCTTGCTGCAACTAGAGAAAGCCCGCGCGCAGCAACGAAGACCTGACACAGCCTCAAATAAATAAATAAAAGCAGGCCTTTTAAAGTCTGTTTTGTTCGTCTCTATATTCTTGGTGCCTCTACAGACCTTGGCACAGATAGGATCTCAATAAATATTCGGGAATAAATGAATGAATGGGGCTGAGGTTTCACTGCTCAAGAGAATACATTCTAAAGTGGATTCCCGGTTGTGTGTGGACCTTGAGTTGGGCTCGGGTTTAAATCCTACCCGCCTCTGCCACTTACTACCTCTGTGATCTTGAACAGTGACTTCACTTTCTACAGCCCCAGCGTCTACATCTGGGAAATGGAGGACTGGTAGGACTGTAGTCAGGGAGAAATGAGGTAATACAATGTAAAGTGGCTATAGCACAATGTTTTTTTAAATTGAAATATAGTTGACATAGGAGCAATTTTTGAAATGAGGAAATGAGCCGTACAAACTGATCAGAGGACAAGATTTCTGCCGGTTTTTTTCTTTGTGGGAGGTGCTAGGGTGGGAGGGAGGGAAGAGGGGAATGGGAAACCTATAAGGTGGACTTGGTTGCATGAGACAAGTTTGGCAAATTAAACCAGGATATCTGGGCACCGGGCGGAGACTTATGGTTTCACTGGGGGCAGGGCAGGGGGCTAGAGGGGAATCATGCCCAGGAGAGGGTCGAATGGGGCGGGACAGACCATCGCTCCAGTCATGACAGTCTCTTACTAGAAGAGTAACCCACTCCGAGTCTGCGAAAGCGAAGTGGTAATGAATCCCGGCAGGGGCCCTTGACGGAGCCGCGCGGGTGTGCCCTGGGGGCGGGTCGCACCCTGCGGGCGTGGCAGGGCGCGGGGGCGGAGCCGATGGGCTAGAGGTAGTGAGGTGGCGGGGCCGGGGGGCGGTGCAGTAGCGCGGGGATGGGTTTCGAGGGCGGTGCCTGGGGGCGGGACCCAGGGGCGTGGGGAGATGGGGGCGGGGCGGAACGCGGGGGCGGGGCC